CTCCTTTTCTGCCCCTTTGATGATATCTTTAACGCAGCCTCATTAACCCTTCATTATATACTGTTCTGTTCTCTAATTATCCACCCTACCCAATTCAGCACTTTAGTTTATCAGTCTATAATGCTGATCTAATTGGTTTTCTTTTAAGTCTCACTTCACTAGTGAAATTGCAAGCTCCCTCTGGGGTAGGGAGCACTGCTAGCCTGATCTTCATAACAGCAGGCACAGGATGGGCACTAAACACTTTTTGATGGGCTGACACTGATGTTGGGCAAATCACACTCATTCTTTGGGGCTGTTTCCTCTTCTATAAATTGATAAATTGAGATAATTTGAAGGTGAATAGATGCCTCCCAGCTCTTGTAGTCTAAGGGGCTGCCATCTGGGGGCATTCCACATTTCTCAAAACTCTTTCAGCTCTGAAATTCCTTGTATAAGGCCCATCCTTCGAGGCAGCACAGTGAATAACAGGTGTGCATTGAAGCCAGGAAGACCTAGGGTTGTCTCCCACTTCTGATTCATACTGGTTGTGTGATCCTGGGCAAGTCACTTAAGATCTCAATGCATTTCTCAAAGTGTGGATGTCCTGGAGACCCTTTCAGGGAGTCCTCGACATCAAAACTATTTTCATAATAATACTAAGACATTTTAATTTCTAATACAATAAATATTGACAGCTATAACTCCTATAAACAAGAGAGCTTTGAGAAATCCCCAATAACTTTTAAGATTCTAAAGAGGTTCTGAAACCAATAAGTTTGCAAATGGCTGCTCTAGGGGCTCTCTAAGTAGCAAAGAAGGAACTAAAATATATTGGTAGATATATTGGTATTCATGTCACCCCAATTACAGATCCAGTCCCTACTCCTAGGATCTCTACACCTTTGACATGTTCTAAGGTCTCTTTTCAGCTAAGTTCTAAGGTCCTTCTACGTTCTAAATGTCCTTACAATAAATAACAATTGATACCTGTGCAACTTATTGATAATCTTGATTAAGTGCTAATGATGTGGGAGGGGATTGGAGATATAAAGACAGAAATGAAATAGACTCTGTCTTCAAGAACCTTACATTCTACTACTGTGCTGCAAGAAGTGATGAGCAGGTGGATTTCAGAAACCTCTGGAAAGACTTACATGAACTGATGCATAGTGAAATGAGCAGAACCAGGAAAACATTGCACACAGTAAAAGCAACATTGCTCAATGATCAACTATGATCGATTTAGTTCTTCTCAGCAATACAATGATCCAAGACAACTCCAAAAGACTCATGATGGAAAATTTTATACACATCCAGAGAAAGAACAGATGGCATCTGAATGCAGATCAAAGCATGCTATTTTTACTTTATTTTTTTATTTTTATTTTTTTCATTTTATTCTGGTTCTTCTTTCACAACATGACTAATATGGAAATATGTTTTACATGATTGCACAAATATAACCTATATCAAATTACTTACCATCTTAGGGAGGGGGGAGGTGAGGAAGGGAGAGAGAAAAACTGGAACTCAAAATTTTATAAAAAATGAATGTTAAAAATTGTCTTTACATATAAGCAGGAAAAAATAAATTACTATTAAAAAAAGAGAATCTTACATTCTACCTAGTACTTTCAAGTCTTACTTTCAAGTTTGAAAAAATGCTTTGAGCCTCTGGAGAACCATACCAGGGATTATTAGTTTCATTTTACAGATGAGAAAACTAAATCTGGGAGAGATTAGGCAATTTACCTAGGGTCACACAGCCAGCAAGGGGCTGAGGCAAGATTTGAACAGGTCCAAGGTCCTACCAGACACAATTTATCACTGAAAATGGGATTTTATAATGGATGGGGTAGAAACTGAATCTGAGGTTTTTTTAATAGCATCTTCTTTGCATTTTATTGTTCTAGAGTTCTGCCTGGGCTAGACAGAGGCAGAGAGACTTAGGGACTCAAGCCAGCATGTGTCTTTTTTTTTTATTTGGTTAGGCAATGGAGTTAAGTGACTTGCCCAGAGTCAAACAGCTAGTAAGTGTTATGTGTCTCAGGCCAAATTTGAACTCAGGTCCTCCTGAATCCAGGGCCAGTACTTTATCCACTGCATCACCTAGCTGCCCCTAGAGATCATCCTCTAGGCCTCAAGGTGTTGAGGCAGCTCCCCAGAACAATAAGAGAAGATGCTTTTAGAAATCCTAGGTTTGGGGCAGCTAGGTGGCACAGTGGATAGAGCATTGGCCCTGGAGTCAAGAGGACCTGAGTTCAAACCCGACCTCATACATTTGATACCTACTAGCTGTGTGACCCTGGGCAAGTCACTTAACCCTGACTGCCTCACCCAGAAAAAGGAAAAAAGAAATCCTAGGTTCTCTAGGGGTAAGCTAGAAGCCTTTCTAATAAGATTCAGAGATGAAGCAAGAATGCCATTATTATTCAATAGTGTACTAGAAATGCTAGGTATAGCAAGAAAAAGAAATGGAAGGAAAAAGAATAAGCAATGAGCAAACAAAACGATTACTGTTTGCAGATGATATAATGCTTTACTTAGAGAACCTAAAAGAATTAACTAAAAAAATTAGTTGAAACAACACTTTAGCAAAGTTTCAAGATGTAAAATAAACAGCATTTCTATAAATTACCAACAAAATTCAGAAGGAAGAGATAGAGAAATTCCATTTAAAATAATTGCAGATAGTATAAAATACTTGGAAGTCTATGTGCCAAGACACACACAAAAAATTATATGAACACAATTACAAAGTGCTCTTCAAACAAATACAGATCTAAACAATTAGGGAAATATTTATTGTTCATGGGTAGGCCAAGCCAATATAATAAAAACAACAATACAACCAGATTAATTTATTCAGTACCCTACCATCATACTCCCAAGGAATTATTTTATAGAACAAATAACAACAACATTTATCTGGAGAAAAAAAGGTCAAGAATATCAAAGGAATTAATGAAAAAAAAATGAAGGAAGACGGGCTAGAAGTACCAGACCTCTGTACTACAAAGTGGTAATCATCAAAACAGTTTGATACTGGATAAGAAATACAGTTGGTGATCAATGGAATAGAATAGGTACACAATGTATAAAAGTAAATGACCATTGAAACCCAGTGTTTGATAAACCTAAAGATCCTAGCAAGAACTTACTATTTGACAAAAGCTGCTGGGAAAACTGGAAAAGCAGTTTGGCAGAAAATAGGCATTGATCAACATTTTACACCAAATATTAGGATAAGCTCAAAATGGGTACATGATTTAGACATAAAGGGTGATATCATAAGCAAATTTGAGGAGCACAGAAAAAAAAATTACCTGTTAGATCTACAGATAAGGAAAGAGTTTATGACCAAATCAGAGATAGTGAGGATCATGGGAGATAAAATGGATAATTTTGATTTCATAAAATTAAAAAAATTTTTATACAAACAAAATCAATGCAGCCAAAATTAGAAGGAAAGCAAGAAACTGGGTGGGGGGGGAAGGAATTTACAGCAAATATCTTGATAAAAGTCTCATTTCTCAAAAATATAAAGAAGTGAGTCAAATTTTCAAGAATAAAAGTTATTCCCCAATTGATAAATGGTAAATGGATTTGAATAAGCATTTTTCAGAAGAAATCAAAACTATAAAAAAATGCTCTAAATCGCCAATGATTAGAGAAATGCAAATTAAAACAACTCTGAGGTACCACTTTACACCTGTCTGAAATGATAAATGCTAGAGGGAATGTGGAAAAATCCGGATACGAATGTATTGTTGGTAGAGTTGTGAACTGGTGCAACCATTCTGGAGAAGAATTTGGAACTATGCCCAGAAGGCCCATAAAACTGTGCCTACTCTTTGATCCAGCAATACTACTACTCAGTCTGTACCCCAAATAGATCAAAGAAAAAGGAAAAGGTCTTATAGGTACAAAAATATTTATAGCAGCTCTTTGTGGAGGCAAAGAATTGGAAAGTGAACTGAGGACCAACAATTGGGGGGTGGGGCATGCATCTTCAGTCCTCCTGTTCTGATCGATATCTGACCTTTGGACCCAGATGGCTCTGGAGGAGAAGGTGAGGCTGGTGACCTTGCCTTCACTCAAATCCAAGTCAATTGCAAGTCATGATGTCATCTCCCTGATGTCATGGTCCTCTTTGAGAAAAGGACAATCCACAACCCCAATCACAATCAGTTGGGGAATGGCCGAACAAGCTGTGGTATATGATTGTGACAGAATACTATCGTGCTGTAAGTAACGAGGACGGGGGTGGTTTCGGAAAAACCTGGGAAGACGCGTGAACTGATGCAAAGTGAGCAGAACCAGGAAAAGGTTGCACACAGGAACTGCAACACTGAGTGATGAACAATTGTAAATGACTTAGCTGTCCTCGGCAATACAATGATCCAAGACATTCCCGAAGGAAATGCTGCCCCCCTCCTCCAGAGGGAGAACTGAGGAGGTCTGAAGGCGGAAGGAAGCCGACTTTTTTTGTTTTGTGACATTTTCTTGTTTCTTGCTTTTTTTCTGCAATGTGGCTAATAAGGAGATAGATATGTCTTGCATGACTTCACACACACGACGGGTATCATATTTCCTGCCTTCTCGGTGGGTGGGGAAGAATTTGGAATTAGAAATTAAAAAAAACTTAAATTAAAAAAGAAAGCAATCCCAGGCCCAGCAGACGTGCACCGTGGTCCGAAAGGGTTAAGCGCCCCGGGCTTGGGACGCGCGGCTCCGGGCCCCGCCCCGCCCGCCACGACGTCACTTCCGGCAGCCCCGCCTCCCGCCCCGCTTCCGGTCGTCGTCGCCGCTGCTGCTGCTGCTGCTGCGGGGCTGAGGCGGAGGCCGGAGGATCGGGCGGCGGCGGCGGCGGCGGCGGCTGAAAGAGAGGAGCCGGCGGGCGGGCGGAGGGAGGCGGCGGCGGCGGAGGGACAGGGAGGGAAGCGGCGAGCGAGCGGAGCGAGCGCGGCAGCCCCGCCCCGGCCCGACCCAGCCCGAGCCCGCCGCCGCCGCCTCGCTCCGCCCGCCCGCCCGGCCCGGCCCGAGCATGTCCGCCTCGGCCTCGGGCGGCGGCCCCGGGCCCGGCCCCCAGCACAGCCAGAGCCAGAGCCGGGCCATCCCCACCCGCACCGTGCCCATCAGCGACGCCGCGCAGCTACCTCACGACTACTGCACCACGCCCGGGGGGACGCTCTTCTCCACCACGCCGGGGGGTGAGCGGGGGGCGCGTCCGCACCGGGCGGGGCAGGGGGTCCACCCTGGCGCCGCCGCCCCGCCGGTCCCCTCCCCCAGCTCCGGCCTGCTCACCGCAGCGCCCCTCCCCGTGCTGTGGGATCTCCCGGAGAGCCCCCCACTGCTGCATCTCTCTGCACCCCTGGGTGTCCTCAAGCACCTGGGACGCAGCAGGCGCTGCATAAATGCATCTTCTCGTGGCGGGTCTACACTGCAGATTCCTGCGGCCGGGAGGTACTGGGTTTGAGAAGGCGGGGCAGCTGGGGCTGCTTCCTTCATTCCTCTCCTTAGTTGCCTCCTCGGAAAAAACAAAGGTGCGGGATTGCATCCCCGCATCGCGGCCGGGGTCGGGTCCGGCTCCCAGGCTCTGTCATGAGAAATCTCCCCCCCCCCTTTTTAACTCAAACTTTCAAACCTCGTAAATTCTAGTCGTTTTTTCAACACTGGGCCGCTCGGGTTCCCTAAGCCTCCTTTGCCCTCCTGTGCTCATTCGAAAAGCCATTTGTTCTTCTTCCCCTAACATTCACTTTGTGGATGTCTGGGTGGGATTTGGTCTGCCCCCCATTTAATTTGTACGCAGCCAATCTCACCCCCCAAAAAAAAGGTATCAACCAAACAAAAACAAAACCCCAGACTTGTGGACTAACAGTCCCTTGAAATGCAACTTTCCTGTTTTCTTCGCCCACCGCCCCCTCCCCAACCCTTTCAGACCCACAGCTTGTTTAGCTTCACCCTTCTCCAAGATCTGAAAATCCACGCAGAAGATGATTTGTTTACTTTTTTTCTTCCCTATTCCCCCCCCCCCCAGATTAGTACTGATTTAGAGCTTCTTCCTGGAGCACTCTTGAAGGGAGAGCTGTACTTTTTGGGGTCATTTAGTACTGGGCCATAGAAGTTATAGTTCAGCTAATCCCAAAGGGAAGCGATTAAGCTTAGGTTTCGGGTGGGCTGGAGAGCCTCCGCCCTGTTTGGCAGTACCATTGTTTAAATTGCCTGGAAGTGACCTTACTGGTTGGAGCAGGTGGTGAGCATGAGTCTTGCGATCCATATTGATCATGTTTATCTGTGTACCAAGTCTAATCACAAAGTGGATAGCAAATGGGATGAGGCTTTGAGGATGGGAGTTGATGGCCTCAGGTTTAGAGTTTGGAGTTGAGGCCAGGTCCTCTTAGATTGGCTGCTGAAACGGATACTTCTGTCTGGGTGGGTTGCTGAGAGGCTGAATGCCTTTCCTAGGCGTTTTGTGTTTTGGGGATGCAGCTTGTGAATTTACAAATAACGAATAGAGATTACTGCCAGACAGTGTGTCCTGGGGTTACTTGAGGCAGAAGGAAAAAGACTTGAGCCCCTTTTCTAATAGTGTCTCTTGGGAATTCCTGTGTGCCCAGCTCCTGACACTGTTTCTTTGTACTCCAGCTGAGTGGGTGAGGCTGGATCATGGGTCCAATCTAACACCTCAGTTCTGAGTAACAGACATTTAAAACATTAGTGTAGTGCTTTCAGGTTTGCAAAACTTTTATGCACTTTAAAGCTCCATGTATTTTTTTTTTCAGTCTCCTAACTGGGCGCACAATTTCAGGATCTGGGAGGGGGTCAGGTCTGAGATAGGGGAACTGATTGACCAATAGGATGTAGAGATCTAGTCTCTGCTGAGGAGCTTGGCTTTGGGGACAGCCCTTTGCCTCCAAGAGTTTAAGATGTCCCAGGCCTTAGAAATCATCTGCATGTGTCGAGTGTGGATTCGAGGAAGCGCTTACAATTGTTTACCAGGCTTTACTCCTAGCCTAATCAGACCTGCCTATTTATTGGCTGAAATGTCTGTTGTCAAAATTTTTATAAGCCAGGAGTCATTAGAAATTAGAATTTATTTCCCACCAAACTTGATCCGATATCTTTTAAACAGTGGATGTTGTTTTCTAAAGCTTGACCTTGATTTTACAACTTCCTTTTTCATGTTATAGTCTTTCTAATATGTTTCTTTAAATATAGAGGTACAGACCTTGTAATTATTACTGTATGATGATAATTGATTTGGGTTAGAGAGCAAAATACCATGGCTAAATATTGGCCATGATTCCATTTGGGTGATGAGAGCTAAAAAGACAAAGTAGGAAGTCATCTTTCAGAATCGTCGAGTTGCTTTTCTTTAAATACTTTCGAAGACTTGCTTTTAAGGTGGAGCCTTATTCGTTGTTCCTAAAATTCATTGAAATTTTTTTTTCTGGAAATGTTAATCCATTTTTCTCTCCCTTTGTTCAAGTGTGACTCAAGATTATAGATTTAGAATTGGAAGGGATTTTGGAGATCAATTCCAACCTGTCCATGTTACAGATGAATGAATTGGGGCTTACTGGTTGTCTGCCTGAGGTCACACAAATCATAAATTGCATAGCTGGGATTTGAATACAGGTTTTCTTACTCCAGGGTTCTTTCCACTACCTCATCTGTATTTCACATATATGGCAACTTTTTTTTTTGTTTCAGGGTCAGATATTTCTTAGTGTCTTGACACTTCTGCATTTTTGACAAAGAAATTGAGAATTGTGGATAAATCCCTGGACTTACAGTTGGGAAGATTGTAGGTCCAAATCCTGCCTGAGACAACTGATTGGTTTTGTGACTTATCTGTGTCTCAGTTCCCTCATCTGTAAAATGAGGGTGTTGTATTTAATAGCCCTCTAAGGTCCATCCCTTCAAGCTCTAAAAGTCTATAATTCCATGAAGAATCTTGGGTGTTAATGAAAGTTAACAGTCAGTTAACATTTATTAAGTGCCTACTCTGTTCAAGGCTCTGTGCTAGGGCTGCTATACAAAGAAAGGGTAAAAAAAAAAAGACAGTTCTCACAGTTTAGTGAGAACATGCAAATAACTGTGAACAAACAAGCTACATTTAGGATAAATTGGAAATATCAACAGAAGGAAGGCACCAGAATTAAGAATGATCAGGAAAGACTTCCTATAGAAGACATGATTTTAGCTGGGATTTGAAGGAAACCAGGAAAGGCAGGAAACAAAGATGAAGACAATATTCCATGCTTGGGGTCAGCCTGTGAGAATGTCTGGAGTCAGGAGGAATCGCAAAGAGGTTATTGTCATCGTATAGAGGAGTGTTGGGGGTGGGGCATAAGAAATTATAAGAAGACTGGAAATGTGAAGGGTCACTTTAGGAAAGGCTTTGAATGCCAAACAGGATTTTCTATTTGATCTTGGAGATGATAGAGAGCCATTGGAATTTATTGAGTTGGGGAGTGACGTGGTCAGGCTTGCACTTCAGGAAGGTCACTTTGATAATTAAAGGATGGACCGGAATAAAAAGAATTTGAGGTAGGCAGACCAACCAGAAGGCTGTTGCGGTAGTCCAGATGTGAGGGTGTAAGGGCCTGTGCCAGGGCAGTGTCAGGAAAAAAGAGGACATGTGGCAGATGTAAAATGAACAGGCGGTGGCCACAGATTGTGTATGAGAGGTGAGAGATTGAGGAGGAGGTTTGGAAGATGCCTGGGTTTCGAGCCTGGGTGAACGGGAGATTGTGATGCCCTCAGCAGTAATAGGAAATTTTGGAAGGCAGGAAAGGTTTGAGGAAAATGAGTTCCTTTTTGAACAGGCTGACGTTAACATGTCTCCAAGGTGATCCAGTTCAAGATGTCGGCAGTTGGAGATGTTAAGGCTGGAGATTAGCAGAGAGGTTAGAATAAGGTGTATTGACAAGAGTCACTCATGCTGGATTTACTCCAGAGAGCCTTTTTACTTCGGTTAGCACAGTGAATTAAACACATAGAAATACATACTTAGAGATGTTATTTTCCTCCTTTGGAGTTCTTCATCTTAGACTAGAGGGCTAAAATGGAGGCTTGGATGCTACCAGTTCTCCTCTTGATTAAAGAAAATATAGAATCACTTTTTTTCTTGTCCAGTATGTCGATGGTAGAAGGTAGTTTTAAGGTAGCATGGATACTTTGCATACTTTACAAAAGTAGTATTAATCTGTCTGATTGGAGATTTCCTTTGGTCTTCTTTCATTCATTTCCTGTTATCTTTCTGCTGCTTCTCTGCCTACCCCTCCTGCCTCAGTTGAATTCAAGTCAGTACTCACTGAGTGTCTTCTGTGTACACATAGTACAGTGTAGTACTACCTAGAAAGGAGAAGAATGTATAATCTTGAGGAGATAACATTGACTAGAAAAAAAAATTAATCAAGTGTCAAAGTTTACAAAATGACTGATCTGTTGGATTTTTCTGAAAATAACAAGTTAGTGAGAAGGAAAAGGATAAGAATCTCCTGTTTCACACTTTAGAAATGCCATGAGGTCTACATATGGCAGAGAACAAACACCAAAATGAGAACTGATAAACAGGCAAGGCAATGGTATTCACAGCCTAGGCTCTTCATATTTTTTTTTCCCCTTTGGGGGCCTTGATATGCCAGTGATCAGAGTATAACATCCTATTTTGGAAAAGTTTCACAAAATTACCACTGTAGGAAGTGGGGGAGGGAGGATTGTCAAACATCTGCTTCTCAAAACCTTATTTTTAAAATGGATGTATACCTTTACCCGCTCTGGAGAAAAAGTCACTATGTAGTATCTACCCAATTTCATAAAGATGTTTGGTTCTCTTTAAAAAAATTGTAATTGATATTTTTTACATTGCTTTCATTTCTAAATATATCTCTTCCCTGCTCCTCCCCAGCTCATCATTCCCAGATATGAAGGAGAACAGGAGAGAAAAAGGAGTTTAGCATAGTGTTTATTCCAGGCTGCAGAGGGAGAGAGCTGTGTTTTTCATCTCTGCTCCAGGGCCATGCTTGGCGATTAGATTATAACGCCCAGTTTTCCACGTTTTGTTCTTTGCCGTTACGTGGTTGTACTGCTGTACGTTGTTTGCCTGGCTGTACTTCCCTCTGCATCAGTTCGTGGAAGTCTTCCCATTCTTCTCGGGTTTCTTCATATTTATTGGTGCTTGAGCAATAGTATTCCTTTGCAT